CCTGAGGAGCGGTGGAGGCCTGGCTGACAGTGGCTTGCAGGCTCATGTTTTGGGGCCACTGGGTCAGGGGCAGTGATTGCTGGCTCTGGGCTGTCAGGCTTGGAGCTGGCACAGGCACTGTGGCTAGAGTCTACCCCTTTAAGGACTCCGAGGATGGGGGAGGGAATGAAGTGCTCTTAGCTGAGGCTGGAGTGGCCACTAGGGCTCCCTGGGAAGGCTGGAGGCCCCCTATTTTGAAATAAGTGTCTACACAGCACTTATTTTGAAATAGCTATTTCGAATTTGGCGTTATTCCTCGTAGAATGAGGTTTAACAAATTTGAAATAAGCGCTCCGCTATTTCAAATTTATTTCGAAATAGTGGTTTGGCTGTGTAGACGCTAGGAAAGTTATTTCAAAATAAGGGCTGTTATTTCCAAATAACTTTGCTGTGTAGACACACCCTTTCTATGTAGGTCTGAACAGGTAAGTCACAGAAAAAGGTGAAAGTAAGTGGGTGCTCCCTGGTGCCCAGCTCCAGCAAGAGCTGGCTGAGCTGTGGCAGAAGCCAACAGGGAGCTATTTAAAGAGCTGGCAGGGACCCAGGTTGCAATAGGACAGCACCTGTAAGAAAGTTTAAGTTACTTTCACCACTAGTCACAGCACACTCAAATAGCTCGGAAATAAAAATGTCAGGATAGTGATAAACTGGCACATGAACAGATCTCTTCAAAATGTCCAAAGTAGCACCTGTCTCACCCCATTCTAATGGTGAGTTATGATAGGCTGCTTTCACCTCCCCGTGCTGACCAGAAAAATCCTGATGGACAGGATTGGGGCAAGCCGGTCCTCACATGTATTTCTGGACCCAGTCAACCATTTACACACATTTACAGAAAACCTTTGACAGAAGCTATCATTAAAACATGAGGTGATGTAACAGATACACATTAATATGACTCAAATATATTTGTATAAAAAGATACTTTATTAACAGTATAACAGAAAAAATATGATGCAGTGACAGATGTCTGAATAACATAATGATACAAAAAAGCCATCAACTCCATAAAATATTTCTCATGTTATTATTAATATGGCATCATAAGCATATACTATGCTTGCCAAAGAATTAAACACACCACACATGCAGCAGGCCCCAAGCCCCAAATAGTTAACATTCTGAGGCATTTACTATGTAAACATCAATTTAATAAGAGAATGTTATATTAATTTCTAGCTTGAGTTACCAGGCGTTGCTGGGGGCAGGAGTGGGGTCCTGCCGGGGGTGCCCTGTGTGAGGGGCGGAAGGGAGAGGGAGAGCACAGGACCTAGGGTGGGTGGGGCAGCCTAGCTCATGCCCGGGGATGCAGGTGCCATGAGGAGCAACGACCCCACCGCCTGCCCTGAAACTTTTGCCCCGCTACCTGCTGCACCATGGGGCCACGCGGGGGGGGGTCCTCTCTTCCACAGGCCACGCCGAGCAGGAAGATGCTCCCTGCCACGTGACCAGGAAGATGCGCTGGACCCCGGGCCACTCCCAGCACCACCGTCAGCACCAGCTCCCTTCTAGGCTCACCCTGCTGCGCCCGCAACCACCCCCTAGAGGCGGCCACCAACTCCAGCCTACCGC